ACGACGCCTTTATCGAGGTGGATGACTCAACAGTCAACTTAAGGTTTCTGGGAGCTGTCGGAGCTAAAACACGTTAAAGACAATATTCCCTGTAAGTAGTTATTTAAATACTGTAAGTATCCCAACTAAAGAACAAAAGTATGCTTGACATATATCACGGTATATGTATGTATATTTTATGTTCATATCAAAGTGTTTTTTTTTTCTTAGTTTAAGAGCAGATTTGATAAATCAAACTAGTTTCAAATGTCAAGAAAATTAAAAAAAAAATTATCATAGTCATGTAACATTTGACACATAAACTAACCAATAAAAAACACTTTTCAAGGTGATTCCTTAGAAAAAAAAAAAGCTATTGAAAATTTTTTTCAAACTTTCCCTAAATGTTCCCTTAACAATGTCTGTTTCGAAAAATACGGTAAAAACGACAGGTCAGAGTGCTTGTTTAAGAAATATGATGGGCCACTCTTACACCATTTATGCCTGTACTGGCACTAACCACGCGCGTCATTTCATCGGTTCATTGTACATTTTGCGGTAGCTAGAAGCAAAGGTTTTTAAAGTAAAAATTGAAAAAAATTGATAGGTAGAAAGTCTCGAGCGCATGGAACAATCTTATGTGTAATTTTTGGAAAAATAACGCAATTTTACACAACATCGACTCGAAACGTTCCTCGAGTCGTTGCTTTCAAGGTCATAATTTGCCTCATCGAGTAACGGGCTTCGTACACATTTTTAGCGATATCTCTTTTTTAATTTCTCCAATTTAAATGGGATAATTTGTACATCGAAATTTTAGCAACAAAAAAGATAGGTCACCGTGCTCGTCGAAGAGCTAAAGACCATCGTACCTTTTTACCGGGTCTATTGATTGAAAAGCAATATCGAGTTCTCGGAATGGAAGCGCGCTTATTCGCCTGATTACGTGATTTTTACGCTCACTACAGGAAGCGCAGTGCAATACTGAGGAGTCACCATAAGTATATTTTATTCACAAACTTGTAAGAAATAGTTCCCTCACCGCCTCCTTTTGGTTGTTTCCTTACAGATCCAGTAGACAAACCAACACCAACAGCGGTGTACCCAGCCATTCGAACAACATAGGTTGTAAACTCAAGTTCTGTTAGTTGATATACCAGCTTGTCTGGTCCAAAAGTTTTGTTATACTCTACTGCAGATCCATTTACCTTGTAGTAAATACGGTAACCTAGGAGCTTCCCATTTTGTTTTTCTGCAGGAATGGCATCCCAAGTTATGTCCAAGGCGAGAGAAGAATTGGAAGTGACTCCAAAGTTCCCAGGAGCAGCAGAAGGAGCTTTGAAAATAAACAAACAAGTGCAAATGTTACCAACTGTCACCTTAAAAAAAGGAAAAGAAACAATATCATCTTGAGTTAATGCACCCTAATAAATGGTTTCAGAGTAGAAATAAATGGGAAGAAACTTACCAGATTTCCTTGAATAAGCACATATGAATGCTTATTTAACATTTTAACTGAAAAGAGGGATGGTAATTGAAAGGACGGCCCATAATCAAGAGGAGGGGGGGGGGGCACTCATTATTCTCCTGTACTGGTTCTACTGTAATTGAAGCTTTAAAAGTTATAAATAAAGTGGTGATAAAAACAGGTTTTTCTTTTATCCCTATTCTTTAAGAGAGCGAGAGAAAAGGAGGGGAACTTGTTTGAGATGGGCACTCGTTTGACATTATGAACTAAGCAGTGGGAGCCCCTAAGAACAAGAACACTTATTAGAGGAAATTTAACATGGTATTCAGGTCAAAACATTTTACAATTGAAAGCCATGTGGTGAATGTGATATGAAATACTAGTGCACAAAAACAACTCTTACATCAAGATTGCAGTACTTGAATGTGTAAGAAACATGCACTTTCCATGATGTCTTGCCTATTTGTTGATGTGTATAAGACACTGTCTTGATGTCACACAATGCAAGTACACTCTACAATTATGTAATGACAGCTTTTTTATGTGGCAACATACAATTATACATTTGTAGAGGATGCACAGTGCTCATAGGGTCCCTGAGTTCACAAGTACACTTGGAAAACACAATGTCCACATCTATAAAGTTGCCATTATAAATTCAAAAGATCGACTAACTTCTAGACTAGACCCTTCTCAGTCTGCAACTGTACTTTGTACATAACTTTGAAGAACGGTTGTGTGCCTAATTATGGCATTATTTAGCTGATCCCATATCAAATCTTTGAGCTAACGTCACAAGAACTGGATGGCAGATAGTAAGGGGAACTGCTTAACTACCATGTTTGGAGGGAACTGGTTCAGTAAGGTGTGCAGTCACCTTGCTATAGAAATTAATGTCAGTACTCACAGGACTCTTGTGTTCTCTCTTGCAGTAAGACTGACCAAGGGCCATGTCCGGTTTCTAGTCCCCATCATGATTTCAAAGGGACGGTATAGTTGACAAATCCCGTCTCCAGTCTGGGTTTTTAATTTCTTTTCTCTTTTTAGCTCAAAACGCTGCGCCAAATGTATTAGACAAGATTGAAAATATTTCCATGGGTCTTAGTCATTCTTTTCCTTGGTTTTTGTTGCATCTTCTTTGTGTCGCGCATAGCACTCTTGTATACAGGGAAATAATCTGTTGCTACCGACAGTGAAGTACCTGATATATCAATTTGACGAGATTTTAGAAAATTCAATGATGTTCACAATTTTTGTCGCCATCAGCCTCGAATTTCACATCTATGTCAAGCGAATGAAGTTTAAAAAATAATATAGATTAACGGTTCAAAGCACATTTAAGCGTAATTTTTTCTCTGAAATGTTGATGGACCAAACATCATAACAAATGAAGTGAATTCATTTAATAGCTGTCAATAGAACAATCGATATATAGCCTGGAGGGTGAAGCCAGTTGGAGACGTGATTTAAAGTAGTTTAAGGCCTGGGTCAGGAGATTAAATTGCCTTAATAAAATAAACAGCCATATCTCCCAACTAACGTATGTATGTATGTATGTATGTATGTATGTATGTATGGGTGGGAGTACGAGGCGCAGATATGACGTAATATAAACATCGCGTCCATTGATATCTGCGCATATGGTTTGGATCTTACTTAATTTGTCGATTTTAAATTTGCAGGGCGCTGATAAAAAACCGGATAAAATTCATCCCTGATTACGTTTTTGCAGAAATACCCCTGCAATCTTTGTAAGTATGAAAATACATGCAGCTTGACTTAACGGCGAGCAAGAAACTTATGCCAAGTTCAGAATCATATTCAAATACAATTAAGCAAACTTTGGTAAACATAATAACTTTGGCTGTGGCTGCCCCCGAACGTTGCACTTGCGTCCGAAGGAGTTTCGACAATAAAAATACTACCATTGTTATTAGCAAGATCAACACTTTAATCTTTAGATAACAACTTAAGTTCTCCTTTACAAATGCAGATGACCAGAGGGTTAAATTGATGGAAAACTACGCATCACACTTGTGATGAGACGAAAACATGACCGCCCTCGTGGTTGAGCGGTCACCCGGCAAATTTTGTGACAATCGCTGACCTTACTAATCGCCTACTACAGTATCACTGTAGTAACATTTAGCAATTTCTGTAATTCTAAGAAGAGATGAAATTGTCTACTTTATCTATTTGTCGTCATTGTTTTAACTTTAACTTCAATTTCCCAGGCGAAAGGTAACAGAGAATTCATATAAGTTATAACTCTGGCCTACTGTTCCCTGGGTTTCATTAAAAACATATTTCTAACTTAATAACTGCCCGCAGACTCCTCCATAGTAATGCCATTGAACATGTAGACGACAAGGCTTTCAGTGGACTCAACAACCTTGACTTTCTGTAAGTTGTAACGATACAATCTCAGTGCGGACTCTCAGCTCAGTCACCTTAGTCAGCCATAGTGTGTTGGTGATGATTCCCGGTCACTCAGTTGGAGCCGTCACATCCACTTTAACCTGACTGCTCGGGATCTTCTTGATTAAGTACTTTCATAAAATAACACTACCATGGATTTACTGGAGCAATAAACAATAGAATAAAGGCTGATAGTTTCGAAAGAAACTGTTTGGGGCTGCGTCGGTGGGAGTAACGAAATAATTTGGATATATCAACAAAAGTTGAAATGGTAAATTGGCCACCGTAATGATTACAAAAGCTGACGTTTCGAGCGTTAGCCCTTCGTCGGAGCGAATAGAGGAATTGTGGGTTGTGTGTGCTTTTAAAGGCAGAAAATGGAGCTACGTTATTGGTGGGTGCATGGCAACGAGAAAAACATGAATAAATTAGTGGAATGAAAAGCGTTCATTGATCCCTGTGGGATT